GGCATTTTTACAATGTTTTGACATTAAATAATGAAACAATAATGAAATCCATCAATTCAAGTTGGTTAAAATCCTACTGTCTACTACCACATTAAAACAAAACACTTACTTCAGGATTTTGTATTTACTGTATACCAGCAGCTAAAGACGGTGTGTTTGCAGAGTTTGTGAAATCTTTCTGAATTCCTTGAGCAGCATATGTAAAGTAGGTTAGTTTGCTGACACACAGCATTCACACCTTTAAGAAAACTTCTGAATAGAGAGAATCCCATTCCGCCTATGTGTTATCTTCTCTCTACAGCTTCTGCTTTAAAGACAGGCTGGGGGAACCTGTTTGGCCTCAGAACATCGACACCAGAACAAACATACAGGTGGGTGTTTGTGTATTGTGCTTATGTGTATGTTCGTGCGAGAAAGAAAGAAAATATATGCACACGTCTTCATTTGTGCAAAAGAAATATCAACTGGATTAAAACGTGTGTACAATATAGCCGTACAAACTGTGTGTGTGTGTCAGGGGGAGATAATTTGTGCATGTATGAGAACACACATAAAATTTAAGTCTGCTTAATAAACTGATCACATCCAACTAAATGTGACCACCTTGAGTTTACTCCTTATGTACTCAAGTCACACACATGTAAACACTCCTTTTCCTGATAATTCAGCATTTCATGCCTAGTTTACCCAGCCCCAAGACTTTCTGGGTGATTATCATGGCATTTCCATTTGCAAGCCCCTGGGCACAGCAATCTGGAGGGGACTGATTTGGACCATTTAGATCCACTAAATGTTTGGAAAATGTTTCTCTGCCCCAGGGCTGAGAAACATATTTTCAAATATTTTCTAAACACATTTGTAGAATTTAATCAAACAGTATTTTTTTGGGACAATATTTTACAGCTAAAGTAATGCTGGGTGGAAACAGGCTACGCTGCCATCTGTCATCGCAGCCAAAAATGCTTCAACTGCACGAAAAGTGCAAGAACGTCATTTCAAAACAGTAATATAGAGGAACAAAAACAAGTTATGTCACTATACTAGAAGTGCTTCAATAAATTAACAAAGACAGACGCATAAACAGTCCATGTCTTGCTTGGAGGCCAGGTTGAAAGTTAATGTTGTGGCGGTCAGCGTTTGATATCTCTACAAAGCCCAGCTCTGCGGCTGTTATCAACCCACCAAACATCAGAGGAGAGGCAGGGAGTTTTCTCTGTCCTTGACTCTGACACACGCTTAACAAAGGACAAAGCTTCCAGCGCTTGTGTGTGCTTGCATAAAAAATACATGCGGGATCAAAAGGGCAGGTATCAAGTATCACAGTGCTCAGTGTGTGCACAGTCACAGAGATATACTGCTAAATATAATACTAGTCCGAGTGAGGCCCAGTATGTGGGCGTGAATACATGTGTGAATGTGAAAATGAAAGCCACAGCGGTGTCCACTGAAGCTGCTTTTACCGTAGAATACATCAGCAATCACAAGTGTAGATAGGGTTAAAGAGGTATGATAAAATCATCAAAACAAACACTGACAGTTCAATATGCATTTCCTAGATACACCACGAGACATTTTCTTCTTCCCTACCTGCTAAATTGTGCCAAAGGTTACATTATTGTAAACTCATGCATAATCCATTCGCTGCACACCTTATTAAAAAACCGCAGACTTAAATAAATCTGACCGTATTATTTGCCAAGGCTGAGAACTGTCAGGGAACTTTTTTCTTTTTTTTTCTTCCAAGAAATAAAACTCTCGCTCTCAAAGCTTTTTGATGCCATTTTAAAGTATGTTTTAAACCTCCATTTATCTACCCAAACACGAGTTCTCTAGTGGAGAACCACAATGCACGGACAGAGTGCCCACAAGCACATACCCACAGAGGATTTCGAAGAAGACAAATGAACTTGAGTGGAGCTGGAGGAGAGAGGCCAGAGAGGGGCCAGCAACAGTTAAAGATGTGTTGCTCTCTGAAGGAGCAGCTGACTAACTCTGAATTCTAAGTAGAAGAAAGTTCTGCTTTTTTTCTTGAGGCGCTAAAAGACCAGTTGTGTTGTCTAAGAGGGCCAGATGGGCCTGTGCTCTGTGACTAAACTTTGGACACACACACACACACACACACACACACACACACACACACACACACACACACACACACACACACACACACACACACACACACACACACACACACACACACACACACACACACACACACACACACACACACACACACACACACACACACACACACGACCCTTCAAGCTGATCAGCATTCAAAGTAAACACTCGTCCTTTTTCCTCTCCTTCTTTCCTACTCTGTTTCTCCTTTCTCCACTCCGCTGATGGTTCCACAGGGAGGACAGGAGTCGCTCCTGTTTATCCACTTATTCCTCAGGGTAAAAAAATAGGTTCAGCCAGCAGGAGACAGACAGAGGCAGAGACTGATGCTGTGCAAAAAGATGCAGGGTTGGATATTTACACTGTTAGCAAACATGGCGGCAGAGAGACCAAATGCCCCCAGGCATTATACCGCTTTACAGTTTCATTTCCCAGCAGACTATGGTAACCTTGCTATGACTGCTCTCAAAGTTTAAACCCCTCAGTCCTGTTAATAATGCATTGTATAAAGCAGGTATCTAAAGTACACAAACTCACACCTTTATTTGACTTAGGAATGAAACCAATATGAAACCAGTTTTGGAATAAATCCTCGGTCACTTTTACTTCTGCAATGACAAGGTATGATTTTAACCTTCATAACGAAACACAGATTAGGCTGTGTAAAAGTAAAAATACACATGTCTGCGCCAGTTTACAGCTTGCGTGAACTGTCGCTTGTACAACACGAGAGGATGAAACATGGCGCCATATGCAGCATGAAGAAGCCTCTTAAGAACACCTGCGCTGCTGCACTTAGCGCCCAGGCTCTATTGTGATCTGATGAGGTCGAGGAGAGAGGGCACGCTACGGACATATTGTCTTAGCACCTCGCTTTGTTCCAGAGCTCAAAAAAGCAACTGCACTCTGAGAGCACTTCACTGTGGTGTTTGATAGCGCTGGAGTAGAGAAGCAGAGAGGAGGAAGAGAAAGTAAAGATTGATAAACTGCATGTGAGATTGAGAACACCCGACTTCCTCCATTATCACTGACCAATCAAAATGCGGGGGGAAATAAACCCTCACAAATAATAAGAATCCTGATAAGTCAAAATGGCGTCCAGATGTGAAAGGTTTGAGGATTTCTAAAGAGTAATCTTTGGATTCTGAGAAAAGTCAAAATTCAGAGAATCAGATGAACTTCTCAGATGTGGCACTAATCCTCTTCTGTGTAAGCAGTGACCTGATAGATTGCTTCAGACCTTTATTTTGGCGGATCTGCAAGTTTCCGAATGACAGATTTTTTTTTTTTTGTGAAAGCTGTAACTATCCTGACAAAGCAGCAGAGAAGATGAACAGCAGCGCCCTGAGTTGGCGATTTTACGGCTTATTTTTGTAAATTCTACAAAACACCATGAAAAAGGTACCAAATCCTATGTCTGGTACCTTTAAACTGAGAGTAAACTGCAAAACCAGATGGCCTACAGGCGGTTTTAGGCACAAATGGAAAAGCAGACCAGCCTCATTAGATGCAAAACCTCCCTTCATCCCACAGGCACCACAGGAATAATTTGTTTGTGAGCGAAACGTTGTAATGCAGAATTTATACTGCCGTGTTAGGATTGACACCGCTGGCATTAAAAAATGTACTTTCTGATTGTTTTTTGATGAATGATGAAATAGAGGACACCTGGGGTAACATTCACCCCCCAAACCTTCAACTTTTGACTTTCACTCAGAATTAAAACCCATTTGGCTTTTGTCTAGTTGACATTTCCACCAGTCTTTCTGCAATGCATTCAATAGGTTATTTTTCAATGTAACAAAGAGTCATTTTTAAATAATACAAATTTCACACAGCCAAACCTAGTTCAAGAACAATGACAACAATACATAAAAAGGAACAGATGTCATAATAAAGTTTTTAAGGTACCTGGGAAACATTTATTTCCTGTGGGTGTATGAGTGACAGTAAGCAGAGCATAACTGAATGTGGCCCTGATATAAAAATAGTCAACTCTGGCTGTTGAAACAATGATAAAACAAAAACTGTGACAAAACAAAATTGAGCCTTTTTTTTTTTTGCTATGGGAAAACTGAAGAAATATTTTTTTTGTGTGTATAAAAATGGAGGAAATATTAATCAGCAACTTTAATAAATGTGTACAGACAGTTGTATGAATTGTTTATTTTCATTATTCCTTAGTACACTTTAAGAGTAAATAATGATATTATTATTTAAAAAGAATGGAGAACTTCTCAACAAGTCCTACAAATTAAACAACAGAATACGTATGTAGTCTGTTCCCTCCAAAACCACATATTAAAGTATTTTATGATGTCAAACCAGTGACAAATCATGACAGGACAATGCTTAAGGTTTGGTTTATGCACAAACATGACTTTACTTCCTCCTCCTTAGAGTTAACCGACCTTAATCATAATGATTACAATAATAACCATGTGGTTAAGGTTCAGGAATAGCTGCAGTCACGGTTAAACCAATGTTGACCGTCAGTAGGAAACAGGAAGCTAACAGCAGTTAGTTTGACCTCAATCTCCTCTATAATAATAATGTCAGACTACTTTCTCTTTTGCCCCCCATTGACAAGAGTATTACAGCCACTAGAGGATTTTGTCACTTGATACTCTTGTTTTACAATATTGATCTCTTCGATATTACTCCTCTGCCTCCCTCTACTCTACTGGACTTGACTGTGCAGATGTTGAGTCATAAATATCAAATATGTGTGAGACTAGTCTGCAAGTCACTTTGTGAAGCTAAGAACAGAATTCCTTGCCATTGTAGAAATAAAACTGGGCTTTATGGGATAAAACCACCACATAATCCCCAGCTTTAAGAGTTTGAGACCTGATTTAGCCTTTTAACTGTTCACATACCTGCTTGTCCTTGTCCTTAGCTTTCCCACTGCCTGACACCCGCGATGAGGTGACATCACGGGGGATGACAGAGATCTGGTGCAGTGGCATGTTCATCCCAGCAGAGCCAACCAGGGACACTCACACACACACTTCCTGTTCCGCTGCCAGAGCAAAGGGCATGATGGTCTGAACTACGACACCTTGCCCGCACTGCCCTGCAGAAGACACACAGGGGACAGACAGACGTTAGCAACAACATAATAAAATCACATTCAAATAAGGTGTAAAATCATATTATATATCACTGTGTCTGGAGGGGGCTGAAATACAAGTCTGCAGCTGCATTTTGTGTTTTCATCTCATCCGCTGATAGAATTAATAATATCTTAGTGATGGCTTACATAAACTTTGAATAAAAAAGCTATTAAAAAGGAGCAGGGCTAACACCACTTTAAATGTATTATAGTTGTATGTCTTATCTTTTCTGCTGCATTTGTGTGTATAAAGAGTGAAACAATATTTTCTACAATATTTGTATATATTTTGATATTTTTATTGGCCCCTGTGTCATTTTTCTTGTATTTTGAGTTTGTTGGTAACTTTATACTTTGTTGACAAAATAATAAATCAGCATTATAGCCGAGTTTGTGCTGAAAAGAGGATATCTTGTATGTGGGTAAGAGCAGTTTAAAAGGTGGTAAAAGGTAAAATGGAGTAATAGAATGCAAAATTAGGAACCCTATTAAGTCCATGGACCTTTCTTGGTGCTGACCTACAGTACAAGTGTAAGCAACTTTTGTCTATTCTCAAACCACCAAAGGCAGAGTCATCTCTTGTGATTTTCCACAGGAGAGCAGAAGTTTGTCTTAGAATAGCACCAGCACAGAGTGTAATAAATTATCACAGAGGTGATCCCCGAAGTGTGCAATAAATCACTACAGAGGTGATCCCGTGTGTGCAGGAATAAATTGTTTTTTCCAAAGACCTGGAGATTCAGAGCTATCATTTCCACAAAAGAGAGAGCTGTGGTACATGCGGTTGCCTGTCGTTGTTGGATAGATGCAGACAGACAGTCATGAAAGCAGCAGCAGCAGTAGTAGTATGAGGCTGTCCAGTGGTGTTACACAAGAGGGTTTACATATGGGTCGTTTTAACTTCAGTTAATGCAGCCATCTGTACTACCACTGACAGCAATTAAGCTTTAGCTCCTTCTCACCACTAGGCCGTGTGTGTGTGTGTGTGTGTGTGTGTGTGTGTGTGTGTGTGTGTGTGTGTGTGTGTGTGTGTGTGTGTGTGTGTGTGTGTGTGTGTCAGTGCCAAGCAAACCCTCAAGCGCCGCAGTATGAAAATGACAGGATTAAAAAACCAAAAAGCAGACAGATGTGTTGTCAGTAAAATGGCAGTAATGAGAAACCAGCGTTGATGGCTGGAAGGAGGGGTTGGAGGTCTTTGGACTGAGAATGCCACACAGGTTCACTGAGGAGAACCTTCAGCAACAGGCCAACACAGCCAGAGCTGCCACTTCAGTTCATCAATGTCTCTGATAAGTATCAAGATGGAGAGGTGATTATGCTCATATGAACACACTAACACAAACAGTCAGCAGTCATATCAGCTTCTTGTGCAGCAGCTGGCAGTCTCAGCTCTGTGCCAAAGAGGGTGGGGGTGGGGGGGTTATGTGTTAATGAAGACCAACCAGAAAGCAGCCCAGCACCTGTTAATACATTCTCCAGCAAATTATCAAACTGTAAACTAGTCCTGGACACAGTGGAAGACTCTGAGACACAGCGGAGGCTGAACAAGAATCACAAACATCACCACAGGAAAAACTAACAGTTATTGTTAGTTCAGAACATTTTGAACACAGATAAAGATGTTCATAGATGGTGTTTATCCTAGAAGACTTCATATTATGTGACTAGAAAACAACTGCTTTGCTTGATAAGGATAACTTTAGATATCAGTACTATCTTGTGGTAACACGATAAACTCCAAAGGAACACGATTTGTGGAAATCTACATTGTATGCATTATGGCTGCAACTAATTCATCTAATAAAATGCATTCATATTTGAATGATTAATTAGTCTAATCTGGTTACATTTTTGATGAAAGCTGGTCAAATGCACATACATACTTTGTACATTAGACAGCTCTCTCCACCACCATCATTGAAAATTAAGGAAAATCTTTTAGCTCATCGCTCCAATAGAATTTCAGAGACTTGGAGAGTCTACGTCAGCGAACACTGAAAGTGTTTTGGAGCCTTATGGTGTTTTTATTTTATTTGTCACCCATCTCTACATCAACCCTGACAAGGTAGGCAATCTAATTGAGTTAAGCAAGGTTAACTCAATAAGACAATGTGGCAAAAAAAAAAAAAGTGTGCACAGAAAGAGAGTTCACTCAAGACTGACATTTCTGTCTTGAACTGCTGATTCACATTCACATTAAAAACCCACAGTGTGTTTGTTTGCTGTGAAACACAAAGGGAATTACAATTTCTCCCTGAGGAAAAGAAAAACAACTATTTGACGATTCAGTGCTGGATTTACCGAGCTAATGCAGGAGGCAGCGCCCTTTACTGTATGCAGAGGTCAGGATGATCGAGTACAGAGTTCTTCAGATGCTGGTGCAAAAGATGACTCATCTATTTTCGACTGATGTTCAACCTAAACCTGAACCTCCATTTTGCTACGGTAGCTGCACGTGTTCAGCGAGCACTGCTGCCGACACACTCTTCACAAATCATTAATAAAAACCTGTTTACATCCAGTCACAACCATCAATCTCCCTTCTGTCTGCACGCCTCGATTCCTTCCTGCCGAACCCTTCAGTTTTGATTTTGTTAAAAATGGATTTTCTGAACTGAATGCAAGAGCAGTGAAGTAATTTAATCCCTTTTGGTGATTCTGGCTTTATCATGAGCAATTATATGACCTCGCTTTGAGCTAGTGAGCTATGGTTGAAGAATACAGGTCACTTTGATGGTCGGAGAGCACGCACAGTCATATTGTGTACGTGCACGTGTGTGTTTGTGTGTGGCTAATGAGTTACAGTAAATGAGCGTGGATCAGGGGACAAAGTTACCCGCCTCAGGGCATCACACGGCGGCATCATTAAAGCTCCTGCTGTATTTCACTCATAAGTGTTTGTATTAATTACAAAGCGGGCAATCTTGTGTCATTTCCAGAGCTATGCTGTGAAGTAAATCTGTGGGATGATCAAAATAAATCAAGACGGTCTATGTCATGTATTTCTGCACTACATTTTCAGAGCTGTGGTTCACTCAAATGTTTTTTGCGGCAGTCCGAAAAGAAACAACCAACAAGATTTATCATTGCGGCCACAACACAGACTGTGCTGCTGCACCAGCGGGCTCGTTACTATACATCTAAAAGAATAACAACGACTGCAGTAAAATCCTCCACTCCACTCATAATTGCCATTACATTTTCAAGCCTTTGTTGAACTGAGAGGTTGCGCTAACGGAGTGAGAGATGTCAGGATTACGCTTACTCCATATATGTAAACACTCCGTTCCGTGCTATAGCGTGAATATTTTTAGGATTAGTAAAGCTAAACTAAATCTGTCAATCAAGCTGTCAGGAGCTCCCTTGGATGTAAGATCAGGCCATTTTCAGTTTTGTGTGTGAGTGTATGTGTGTGCATGTGCGTGTGTGTGTGTCCTCCGGGCCGTCTGCCAGTCAAAGAGTTCACTGCAACAATATTAATAGCTACAAATCCAGCAGCACTCCAACCAATCACAGGTCTCCTGTGGTTCCAATTTGACACTGACCCGTTGCCATGGCAGCAGCTCCAGCGGTTCATTTAAGAAGGGGATGACAATTAGAATAAATGTATGATTGTCTGACTGGTTATAACTGCTGGTAGATAACAAAATTTTAATTTTTATTGACTTTCAGTGAAATTGCATTGTGGTGATACGATCACATCGTGTTAATTGTTCGACAATTCTGTTATCTAAAGTAATGATTCAAAGAAAACTGTAATTAAAAACTATCACGGTGAGTTATCAACAGTTTTGTTTTGCATGTGAGGAGTAAGATGTAATACAAGCGGTGGAACAGTTCATTGCATAGTTATTTAACATCCTCAACCCCACTGATCCTCATCATTTCTGAGCCTGGCTGTCAGGCTAAATTGCCATTTCATTTCCCTTAATTTACTCAGCCCACTGTGATGATGTTGGCGGTTTTGTTTTGTCCCAACCAATGAGCAGCGCAGAGTCCAGCGAAAGTAATTTTCACTTAACATGGAAGCTACGGTGTCTGTTGTTACAGGCCCCTTAAATTAAAAGGGAAAGTGCACCGATTTTACACATCAAAGTCTGTTTACGGGTTTTGGGGAGTACTGACAAAGTGCAGTGTCGGTGAACACCTAATATTATATAAAATGTATATTATATAATATATAACCAGATATTGCCTTCAGGAGTTGGTGGAGACCAAACCAAAGCTAAAAAAGGAGAATGAATATCAGAATTACAGGTGGCCACAAATAAGTGTAACATTGCTTCATGGTTGCTGGATGTGTAAAAAAGGAACTATTTGCTAATGCATTCATCATAACTTTATAAAAGGTGATAGTGTCAATGTTGGATTTACAGCTTGTTATGCTGCCTCCAAGTGGCCAGAAAATGATGAATGATAACTATAACAACTATAACTATAAATATATGTATCTCCAGTGGAGTCCACACCATAACAGCAGTGGCGGACAATATCATTGGGATCACTTACAGAGTGATTTGATGAAAGATATTGTGGTATACAACTTATTAAATGCTTGTATAACATAATATCAGGCTGCAAATTACACATTACAAAAACGTCATTTTACTTGAGACATATCAGAAGGCTTTAATTGTGTCCTCTTTTTTACCAAAGTAAAAGTATTAACCTAATCAATATACATTTTTCCTAAACTGCAGACAGAGCCACTGTTTATACAACATTATCATTCATCAGCGTGGATGCTCACATTGTTATCATTATAGTTATAGATATTGTGGACGGGGCCTCTAAAGTATTAATGCATAATTGAATTAAAAAGGGGGGAAACTGTCTGGCTCTTTTAATGGGGCTTTGCACACATTTATCATATCATGATACGATTTGGGAAACACGGTCTTACAGGATGTCCACAGAGAGACAAGGCCATCAAAATATTACTGTAGCTCCAAGCATCCAAT